ACGCGCATCACACTGATACACATTTGACACATAATAATTATCCAATTTGGTAGAAAGATTTTTTGTATTTATTTTACTATTATTTGTTACAACAAGAGCAAACTTTAAAACCTATTATTTAAGAATAATCTTATACGAATCACAAGCATCCAGCCAAAAAATGAAACTCCGATTTCATAAATAAGCTAATTATGTGGAAGATATTTTATTGCCTAACACCTGATTCAAAAAAGTTTTTTTTAAATATTTTTTGTAGCATAATGGTGGCAAACGCACGCATAGTCCACCTGATGGTAAGTGGTTGCTGTTGCCTATAGACATCTATATCTATTCTGTATAAATTTTCCTTCTTATCAGATGCTTTCTCACCCGTGAGGACTAAAATGAAATGTTTAGTTTCCAGTAAAAAGGGTCTCCGGTTCTCTACACTGACCATACGAAACAGCAGCGTTAACCTGCTATTTTACGCTGGTAATTTGTGAGAGCGTAGTCCTTCCCCGGTCCTACAATTTTACAACTATAGTTCTAAAGGTACATTTCCCTTAATTCATGAATATAGATAAAAAGTCGAATAAATAGTTATAAAGATGAAGAATAATACTTCAATGTATTCAGCTCTTTGTTTATGATGAAAAAGCTCGCCCTTCTTTCATTTCGTCAGTAACCGATGAGTGCCTTTGTCCGTCTGTCGCCGAGTACTAAATAAGCAACTTTTATCCTTAGAGCGCTATTTTAATGAGAAGTAATGAAGTTTCCGACCCAACGCCGACGTTTTGTTAGGTTAAGAGCCTTATTTATATTAGTTAGCACGTTGTATTTACATTTCGCTCAATATTTTTCTTTTCTTAATTTGTTTTCTTGCAAAATAAAGGAGTAAAATAAATATTACTTAATTTAGGCATATGATTGAAAGTTTATTAGCTGTTATAATAAAATATACCATATAAACATTATTTTACAATGGAATATAAATATCCAAGATATGAAACCATGGAATTTTTAGTCATAAGTCGTTACCGATATTCTTCTATTATTTTATCCGCATTTGACTCTCAGCGTTACGAATACTAAAAATTTTTATTGCATTTTGATGGACTGGTTTATAGCGTACAACTAAAGTACAGCAATATGGTGGTGCGTAACAGAACCCATCATTCGATTTCATCACATGAGTGTTTTAAAAGGGTAATTTGTAAATATGAAACTTTTATGACCTGTAACACCCCGTTTACACCAAACGTAAAACGCTTTGACAGGCGACAGGGAGCATCGTTAAAGGTGCGAGAGGTATAGTATTTTCATCACTAATCCACCATAATAGTCAAGCGCGGCGGCTATGGCAAAATCTCTATACAGCAGTATGAAGAAGAAAAGCATTACTGGTTGTTCAGTAGACAACCAAGAAGACGTGAAAATGAAGTGATATATTATGTGAATATCAATAGTCTATCAAATTGCTTTACCTTAAACAAAATGAGATCTATGACCAGTAATATATGGTACCAGCATATAGGCTGCATCTTTACTCTTTTTATTTTAAACACACAAATTGACTTGGCATTAGGACTCATTTTGAGTTATGGAATCTGTCCTTTCAATGTCTGCCGCCTAGCAATAGTACATCCGTGTGCGGTGTTTCGATTCGAAGAGTAAATTGCCACCTGGCTGTAGGATATTTCATTACTTTTTAGTTTTCAGAGGTGACAGACAATCCACCTGTGGTCACAGAGTAGGTATTTGCCCATTTCTCGAAACCTAGACAATCATATTATTAATACACCTTATCGTTACCTTTTAATATTTTTTTTACTTTGAACATTAAGAAAGATTATTTGCAAATTCCTTCACAATTTTCTTAATATTATATAGATATATTGTATAAAAAATCAACCGTAGTTATTATCAGTAATTTACCAATGTCGAATCATAGCTATCATTAGAGGACTATTAAAACGTTTTACTATAACACCTAACAATCACAAAGGTAATTAATGGCTGAACGTAGAACGGTCGTAAAACAATCGGTTTTACTCCCTTAAAAATAAACGTCGCAACTTGTTAGCGGGTTCTAACGCGTAGCCTGTCAAAGGAGGATAGTAGAAAAGTGAGTAACGGTCCGCATAATGACTACTTTAGCGCTTTCAATGTGCTTTATGAATAATGAAATTAGTTGCTTATTCCGTTCTTAAGTTCCGTGCCTCGGACTTAATAAGCTTTATGAGTTACGAGACGCCCGTAAAATATTCGACTTTCGGCTCGAATTTTCTGCTTAGAACGTAATCAAAGATTGTAATTAGACTTTGTTTTATATTATTCAAATTTTAATGGACTGGAACGTATTTGTGTTACAAGCAAACGCTGGCTGTAAATTTACAAGCCTAATAAATTCACTTTTATTGAAAACTTTTTTTAATCATTTACATATTTTAATGAGCTTTTCCTGCGTTATGGTTTCACTTTCTATTTCCATCCATGTTTATGAATGTGATGTTTATGTCTATTATATGGCACGTATTATAAACAGATCAGACAGATCACAAACTAATATAGATCTAGAAAATAAATCTCTTAAAGGTATATTATCATTGGTGTGTTCTTTTAGTGATCTTGTAACTTAATATGACAATAGTTATGCTGCTATTGAAAGACCAAAATGACTCATATTTACAATATCATATTGTAGCTAAATAAGAAAATCACAAACTTTGGAATCGATAAGTCTCGGTGTTATATTAGAAACGTTTGTGGCAGAGAGACAGACACAATAACAGATAACGAGTTTGTTATTAGAGTTCGGGGCGTGTCCGCCGCTGTGTCCCAGTATGTGATAGAGAATTCACAATTACTCCAAAAATTGTATTTTTAATTTCTCAAACATTCGGATTTTCACGATGTTTTCCTGTATTCCCGAGCATGAAGATAAATTTGCATTTAAATTGCAAATGAAAATTTTCTTGCGATCCGTGGGCATCTTACACTTCAATACAAACAATGTGTATTGAATTTGTTAAATGAACTGCTAGCACTACATGTGATAACATTAAATGCTATAATCGATTATTCAAATGAAATGTATTTGCATTGATGATGATAATGACAGTAGTAATAGATAATGGATGCCATACATGGTCCAATATACCGTTAAGTTTGCAGCGCGCTTGAAGCGGCGTCCAGTTTGCAGTGCATCCATATAGACCACTCACGTTCAAGTTCGCCGTCTAGTTTGCATGATGCCGCACCACTTCAATTTATGGCCGACGACACGTAAACCATCCTAGGCTTATTGCTCCGACTAATGTCATGCATACTTGACCGCTCATACACAGGTTCAAGTTTACACGACGCTACAATCTTAATCAAGTCGGCAGAATCTCAATTCAATTTTTGCTTCAAGTAGACTTGTCATGCTTTACCGCTGCATTGGAAGATGTTTTCAAGCTTCTGGACTGGAAAGGATACGGTATCAACATCAATGGCGAGTACATCACTCACCTTCGATTTGCCGACGATATAGTCCTTATGGCAGAATCGCTGGAGGACCTAAGCACTATGCTCAATGACCTCAATAGTGTTTCCCAACGGATAGGTCTTAAGATGAACATGGACAAAACAAAGATCATGTTTAATATCCATGTCACACCTATGCCGGTAGTTGTTGGGAACACTAAGCTCGAAGTTGTTGACGAGTATGTTTACCTGGGACAAATAGTCCGACTAGGTAAGTCCAACTTCCACCGAGAGGTCAATCGACGGATTCAACTCGGTTGGGTAGCGTTCGGGAAATTACGGCACATCTTCTCGTCAGGTATACCTCAAAACTTGAAAACGAGACTGTACACCCAGTGCGTGTTGCCAGTGATGACATACGGAACTGAGACGTGGTCCTTCACTGCTGGCCGGATGAGGAAGCTCAAGGTCGCTCAGCGAGCTATGGAGAGGGCTATGCTCGGAGTTTCTCTGCGTGATAAACTCAGAAATGAGGATATCCGCAGTAGAACTAGAGTGACCGACATAGCCCAACGGATTAGTAAGCTGAAGTGGCAATGGGCCGGCCATATAGCTCGAAGAACCGACAACCGATGGGGAAGAAAGGTTCCCGAGTGGCAGCCTCGTACCGGCAGGCGAAGTATAGGGCGTCCCCCCACTAGATGGAGTGACGACCTGGTAAGATATGCAGGAAGTCGATGGATGCAGGTGGCTCAGGACCGTGCTTTGTGGCATTCTTTGGGGGAGGCCTATGTTCAGCAGTGGACTTGTGAAGGGCTGTAATGATGATAATGATGAGACTTGTCATGCACACTGATAGACATACACCGTCAAGTTTTTTTATAGGATAGGATGACAAAAGAGTACACAGTCCACTTGATGGTAAGTGGTTCCTGTGACCCATAGAACATCTACATTTATCCTCAATAAAGAATCAAAATGCAGATGCGTTGTCACCGGTAAAAAGGGTCTCTGGTTCTTTACACTCACCATACAAAACACAGCAGTGTTAAGCTGCTATTTTACGCTGGTATTCTGTGAGAGCGTGGTCGTTCCCCGGTCGAGCCGACCCATCCGTGCTAGAACTATACTACTATTATAGCTGCAGAATGGCTCTACCACGTGAAATAAGTTTACCGGATGCCGCTTCAGGCGCGCTGCAAGCCTAACGGTAAACTGGATCGTGTATGACATCACTAAGAAGCACATTTATTTTAGATTATAGTGAAGTGTCTTAGTATTAGCTGTAATAAAACGTCCTTCCCAGCTAATATACCTGGGAAAACTTGGATGGAATCTTAGAAATAGATTTACAATGCTATTATAGCATTAGCTTAAAAACCAAATTAATAATTTGTTATATAATCTAACAAATATACAGGACACATCAATATTATATAAAAATTATAACTGTCGAAAATGATTTTCTAACTTTAAATTATGAAACATATATTTCACTTTGTACAGCTTCTAGAAAGGAAGTTTAATAAAGAGACGGTGTAAAATACGCTTACCATTCTCCCGGGTCCAATAGTTAATAGCTTTAGGCGAGGCTTCGACGTGGCACTGCAGGGTTACATCTGTTCCAGTGGGAGCACCGACCAGCTGATTTGGCACTTGCACCAATGGGTGGACTGTGAAAGGAAATTTACGCTTAGATTTACTTAATTCCTTCACGGGTCAAAGTTAACTTATCCTATGTTAGTTTTAGCGTACAAACTTAGCATGTAGAATTGATTTATGCAAAGATACATGTTTCACAATCTTTACATATAAATATAATTGAAGTGTCTGTCTGTAATATCGTATAATATGTATATATTAAACTATTAAATATGATTATATTAAATCTAAATAGCGATAGATTAAGATGGGCGAACATCCAGGTGGAGTCGCGTGGGTCGCTAGTATTATATAAAAATTATTAAACTCTATTAGTTTATCTATCTATATATCTATTAGAACCGTTTGTCGTGTAGTGACTGCTAAATCTGTTAAAGTTTTTATTACAAAATACTAAACTTTAGAATCGCATGGGATTTTTTTTTGTGTATATATAAAAATTTAAATTAAACATATTAATTAATTAAATACATGTATTTATTTACTAATATTTCATGTTCTTATTAAGTTGGGGGATATCTATACACACAGATAAGAATATAGTATCAGCCTGTAATGTTGAAATAACTGCATTATATCAAATATCCTAAACAAAACAGAACACTTCAAAGTAATTGACCCAGCCCTATAAAAAAAAAAATTTAGTTTCGTATCTAACACGATATTCAAAGTGGCACCTAGCTCTTAGAGTATTAATTATATAAGACAATCCAATGTAAAAGCGGATGTGGTGTCTAAAACAAAGACACAAAATATATTTTTTATAGGATATGGGTGATAAATGGGCATACACTCCATCTGATGGTAAGTGATTGTTATGGCCCATAGATATCTACATCAATCCTCGATTACGAATCAAAATGCAGATGCGTTGTCACCCGTGAGAACTAAGATAGAATGCCTCGTTTCCAGTAAAAAGGGTCTCCGGTTCTCTACACTCACCATACGTAACGTAGCCGAGAACGTGGTCCTTTCCTGGTCGAGTCGACTCATTCGTGCTACAGTTATACCAGTAGGTAATATACAATGCAGCATGGTTCTACCACGTAAACTAAATGTGGACTAAAGATAGCTTTTTTTTAAAAATACTATCCGTTCAAATTGGGACGAGTAAAATAACCTTGTTAACTTAAATTTTACATCACACTAGTACATGTAGGAATGGAGTAGAAAGTATAATACATATTATTATAATGTTATTTAATATAAACAAAAATGCTTATTGTAATTCTGAATAGGATTATACATTTACGTTATAGACGGTACTAAATTACATAGTGTGACACTGATGATAATCTTTTGAAGTTCAGCATTACATTAAAATTTTAACAGTAGGTAGAAATAAAATCAAAAAAAAATATAACTGCATACATACTTGGGACGTTCGGTTGTTGTTGGCATTCTATTTGAATGTTACAAGTTACAAATAACTTTCATTATTTTTGTTTTTAGGTATAACCTTTTAGTGTATTATTTATCATGAGTACCTAAATATATCTTTACTACCGCGGCTACTGCGCCCTGTCAGGTGCTCGTTCAATCTCGAAAAAAGAAATTACTGATCCGGTACAAGCGGTCTGGTGGATATGAGAATGCGCATGCTCAAGTATTCTAGAGCCAACATCTCGAATTGTAGCAATTACAACAACGAACTTGTAAGCCGGGTTGCCAAACTCTCGCTCTTCTACTCGCTACTCGCCTCGTCGTTTCTTTTTAATTTGTTATGCTTTTCGAAGTGACCGTAACAACAGCTCTTCCAGACTATCCCAGAAAAGAGAGCTCACGATCTTACCGCCGCAACGACTCGCCTTACTTTCTTAGGAGTTGAATATGATGGTGGTTTCTAAGTAATTTTGTTTCGGGGTCGTAATGGTGAAGCCACGTTTCGTAAATTGTTATAAATTGACCCAAAAATTATCAGATATAGTTGCAACAAATCTAAAAAGGCCTAAATATTCAGTCTGCTGTGGCGTTTTTCTGAGTAATACTTTGATTCATTTATGCGTCAGCGTCTGGAGTCTAATATGTCAACAAACTTAAATCCTACGTACTCCAGGTTCCTACAAAACACAATCATTCCTTGCTCCCGATTTCTGGCCCTCTAGGGTCGTGTCGAAGAAGAAGAAGAAGAAAGTTCCCTAAATTTATCACTGGTTCGCAAAAATCGCTGTCCTATGTTGAATCGGCGAGAAACTCAGCGGAACATTTTCAAAAAAGTAATAATTTACAATAATATATTAATACAATTACAATACAATACAATAACAATTAAAAATAGCATGATAGCGATATTTCCATTATCAGGGGCTATAATCAATCATGTTTTTTTTGTTCCCAAGCGATTATGTACAATATTACGCACACCACTTTTTGAAATCTGTTTCTTCAACAATTAAATGTATAGTGATTCAAAAAGTCTGCTTTTTTAACTACTTCTTCGGTCACTGCTCATCTAGCGCATAGCGCATCGTCAGCGAGGGTCACCTTTGGTGGATGTTCTTTCACGTTTAAATTCGGTGCACCAAAGTGCAACTGTAAAATACATTGGAACAATTTACCTCAAACGTTTCTCATAAAACTTGATTGACTTTTTTTGTAGAAAAATTTTACTTGTACAGATTAAGCTACAGTACAACAAACTTCGTGACTAGATGGTAAGTGGCTACTGTAGTCCATGGACACTTGCAGCCAACTTCAAACAAAGAAGGCTTCAGACACGTTGCCACCCCTGAAGACTAAGATAGAATGCCTTCAGGCCGGAACGTAGCAATGCAAGCACTGCTATTTGGTGGCAGAAATAGGTAAGAGGGGGGGGGGGGGTATACCTTGTATTTGATAGTTAATAAGTAGGGACCGTACTTGGTAAGCTCGCTTACTATAAAATTGTAAGGCAAGCTCTTACATCTGAACTACCGCGGCTTTTGTAATCAATAATTAGCAGGAAACCAAAACATGATATTCCTTTGTATTTTTTTATCTACATTCTACAGCCATAACGTATTAGAGTATGTTAGCGGTCGGCGTTAGCATCGCGTATACTGCAGTTTTAGCTGCATTTTTGTTTACACAATTTTCCATTTGCATTTATTTGCCGACGGCGTGTTTATGTGTGTGGTTCGCTAGATTCGTAAAAGGCCTGCATTTCATCTAGTTGAACGCATCCACCTTTACTGCAAACATTTTTAATGTTATTTAGTATGGTATACGGCACTTGACATTATGAGTTTTATACCTATTTATTGGGCAATAACTAAAAGAAACGTTACTTAATTAAAGATTTATATAGGTACGGACTATACACAAGTACTACTTACGTAATTGAAAAAATACCAGGAACATAATACTCGTTTAAGAAAATTATAAATAGGCCTTTGTACGAGATTTTTATAGTATAGAAAATAAGGGCCATATGTTAGCACTCACATTTACTTTCGCTTAACAATCAAAATCCCGTTGCGTTGTCACTCCTGACCTCAGAACAACATCAACAAAAATACGTAATGCTGCTTGCACCTCAAACTAATTTGTTTATGTATGAGTGGAATCAGTGTTACCATCCTAATAAAATTTTCCTTTAACTTAGTTAACTAATTATAATATTCTGCTAGAAACATGATCTGTGTCCAAAAAGTATAAGAGGTATCAAAGATAATTTTAATGACAGCACGGACTGAGAGACCGCGTAAATTCGGGAAAGAAAAAATCGGATTATAAAAGGAAAATATGCTTATGGAAAAAAATATTAAAACATGATGGACAGAAGCAAATATGAAGGAATTTTCTTGTGGAAAGAAATTATAATTGAGTGCTGTATAACTTGCAAAGATTTTTTGTTTCATGGTTGATAATCTTAAATCAAATAAATAATTTTTTTTAATATGATTATTAACCACTGTTTTAAACCTGTTACGGTAAATCTCTAGTTCTGTTCGTGTGGAAAGGGAAGACTCATTTTGAAGAGAGGACTGTTTAAAATATAGCGAATAAGAAGAGCAGAAGAATCGCTTTTAAAAAGATGATTGTAGGAGGTATATTAGTACAGTAGATTTGTAAAGTATTATATATAATAGCGCTCGCGCAGTCTGTTTGCACACTGACGCTCCTCTCCGCCACTCCGCGGTAGAATTTGCTGCAACTGTCAGGTGTTTACTTTGAATATTATCAGAGGACGGGCTGCGTTACTTGCGTTTGTATTACGTATTTACTTTACTAGTTTATTTTCAATTAAATTTTGGCTGCTGCTTTCTTGTTGTTCTTTGTTATTTTAAAAATTTAGTAACTTTGCGCATCTTACGTGGTAGAGCCATGCTGCAGCTATATTAGTAGTATAGTTGTTAGTTTATATGTTCAAGTGAGTGGTAATGGATTTTAGAATTCGAATTTATGCGACACAATTTTAAACGTTTTTTTTTAAATGTAATGATTTTAATCTCCTTTTATATTTTGGGGTAAAATAAGCAAAATAGAATACATTCTTAGAATTACCTCAGCCGGGCAGACCGACACAGTTTTTCTCAGAGAATCAACGCTATCACTATGACCACTCTCTTTCATAGACATTTCGCTGAGAGAGTAGAGTATAAAATTGTGCTTAGTTATAACAAATTTGAGGCTTTTCTTAGTTTGTGAGTGAAATGAGAAGGAAAAACGATTTGGTTGCTCAGTAACGCAATAGCTACACGTTTGGCGCAGAGCTACAGGCCGCGGGTTTGAATTTCGCACGGAACATGCTAAGTGTTTGTATGTCCTATTTACTATTTTATTTATAGAATAAAGGTAACAAGTTTCAGGTAATATATCTCATGGGCAATAAAGGCATATTTTTCACACATAAAAGCAATTTATACATATTTTACATGCATAAATTGCACACCCCCGGTACGGGAGAAAGCCCTAGTGCATTTGCCTACATAAATTTAAAAGAAATAAAAATAAATACTTGCTTGATAAAAACAATCAATGCAAAAAGTATTCCATCCATCAATCCATTACAGTCTATAAAAGTCCAATG